ATTCCTTGGAGGTGCAGGGTAACTGAATATTCTTCGTGACTGCATCATCAATCAACGGTATAGAAGGCAGTTTAAGATTACTATCGGTAAATTCTTGTATTTCTATAGGTGATTCTGTAGAAGCGGGGGATAACGGAATGTCCTCTTGAGTAAGATTTGACTGTGATCTCATAATCACAGTCTCTTGTGAATCTTCTAATTTTTCAAGGTCTTCTTCAGTTTTTATCGAATGTCAAACAATTCTCCGGCATGGACAAACTTTTTCAAACCTTTCTCGCGCATCTGACAACGGCTCAATGAGTTTTTCACAGCCTCGTACAGTCAACACATCACACCTTTGAATTATTTGATAATCTCGAGATGATTCTTTCTTCTTGGAAACTTTTATTTGCTTTACATCTTCAATTATGGAATCATACTTTGGTTTGTTATTAAAACACTACGTATTATATTTTAAATCTTCGCTAAAGAGGTTTGCGAAGAATCTTTTCTTGATTTTACTCACCAATTCGGTGCTTGCTTGCATTCTAGGATTTAAATTTATCTACGTAAAAAGAAGGAGTGGGGAAAGGAAGTGAAAGAAACAAACTTTTGAACTTTAACAATACGGAAGCCGTTAATGTGCAGATTACCTAGATACTCTGCAAATTACCTAGGTAATTTCAGAAATTGAACAATTTTCGCAGCTTTAACGGATCACCCTAGTTAATCTGCAGATTAGCACATTAACTTATCCGTTAATGTGTACATTACCTAGCTAATCTGCAGATTAGCTAGGTAATGTACACATTAACGGATTTCGAGCTTTAGCAGTAACATAAATAAAACTCGCAATAACACATCATCAGGAAATGATCTTATACCATTCAGATTCTTAAAAATGTTAACAACTCAAGCAAGAATGAAATTATTACACCTGTTTAACTGCATGTAAAAAGCAATTAATTACCCAGATTCCAGGAGTTCAGTAATACTTGCAATGATACATAAAAAAGGTGATAGACTTTCTCCAAATAATTATAGACCGATAGCATTATTATCAACCATAAGAAAGTGTTTTACCTCATTATTAGCTGCAAGATTTCAATATTGGACCAAATTAATAGATATCGATGCTCAATTTCAATATGCCTTCTTAAAAAATAAAGGAACAGAACCAGCTATTTTTTTACTGTCATCCATGATACAACTCCATTTGAACAGAAAACATAGGAAAGTATATATTGCATTTATAGATATTCAAAAAGCATTTGACTCTGTCTTTGTTCCACTACTGGTATATAAATTAAAAATGAAAGGAGCCGGAAATCAATTCGCATCTACAATATCTAAATCATTCTCAACTTATAATGTCAAAATCAAACGGCAACTCCGTTTCACCATCACTAGTAATATCATGTGGAATACTTCAAGGTGACCCTCTTTCACCATACCTGTTCAACTTTTATTTATCTGAAATCGACCAAATCTTCCAAGACTGTGCTGATGGAATATAACTAAATAATAGGACCTTCCACTACGTGTTATATGCAATTTTCGCTCCAACGAAGATAGCATTACAAAGAAAAATTAATCATCTAAGCTCATATCTAAATACAATTCACTTAACAATAAACCCTATTAAAACCAAAGTACTTATATTCCGCAATAATAGTAAAATCTCCAAAAAAAAAATCAATGATATATCTGGACAAACAGTTGTTACAGGTGGTAAACGAAAACAATTTCCTGGGTGTTATTTTTGATTGGAATCATACGTTCAAAGCACATGTTTCGTACTTAAACAACAAAGTAAAAACTGCAATAGATAATTTACTAAACTTATATTCGAATTTAAAAACCTCCAACTTATCATTGCATATGAAATTATATAACTCAATAATTAATCCAATCATATACAGGGTGTCCCAACGAAAACGAAACGGCAGAGATATCGCGTTCGTCCAAGCAAATCGCTCGGACAGGTCGATTTTATTCTCAAGGGGGACATTTTCTGCAATGAAGTTTTTGCGATTCTGAATACAACAGACAACAAAATTTTTAAAAACTTATTCATTTTTTATTAACTAAACAAACATTTATTTCAAATAAAGTAACACAAACTATTAAAAAACATAAAAAAACCTTTTAAGCTAGACCGCATATGCAAGGAAAAATAAGTTGATCATAAAATTAAGGTTGATAATGTGTTATCTGTTTCCAAATGTTATAATACAGTATTTTGTAGTGTTCACATTAAGCTTGACCACATAGTGATTCAATTCGAATTTAAGATTATTATTTGTTTTGTCGGGATAAAAATCGTCTGGCACACTCGTTTTCCCGCGCTTTTAGTCGTTC